CACAGTCTGAGAGGAAGGCCATTGTCTCCTTCAGCGTCCGTGCGTCTGTCCCTTGGGGATCTCCACGTGTCTTCCCACCAATCTTTCCCTGGGTCTAGAAGGTCCCCAGCGCAGGGACTCTGGGTTCTAAGGGTGAACTACGAACAAGACGAGATGATGTGGGAAAGGGAGGGGGAATAAATGGGGAACTGATTTCAGGGGTTCAAGTGGGAAGAGAATGTTTTGAAAACGATGATGGCAGCATATGTGAAAATGTGCTTGACATACTGGATGAATGTATGGATTATGATAAGAGATGTGAGAGCCCCCAATAAAAGTATTTAATTTTGAAAAGTGGGGGGGGGATGAGAAGGTGCCACCTGCTGATCCTCTGGAAGGTGCCAGCCCAGCCTGAGCTGCCCCAAGACTCGCTGTTGAGATTCCCCCACCCCTTGCCCCAGAAAACAAAACAAAAAACAAACACCTCACTGACATTGAGTAGATTACAACTCAGCACTCCGCTAAGGAAGCCTTGTTTCCATCCAACAAATGTGCCCGTGCAGCATAAACAAGTTTGTATCCAATCTCTGGATGTAAATGTGCGTGCGGCTTAAAGCAAGTTTGTATCCAATCTCAGGATTTTTTTTGTACTACATGTTCAGCTTTGCTACAATGCTGTTTCCTACGGATGTTTTGTGGTGAATTACAGCATTCTAGTTATGTGAGGATTCAAAGGGTCTGCCGAGGCCAGCTGGGAATGCTGAGGGGCCCCTGGCAGGTCCACTAGGGGCACCAATTGCACACAAATTCCTGGGTCCGTTGCCCAGAGTGACCTGAACCAATGAAGATGCACAGAGGTCAAGTGCAAACAGAGCAGTGTGTGCTGAGAGGACTGGAGCCTGAGAAAGTGGGGTGGGTAGGAGGGGGGCAGATTCTGGCTGTCCCTGGGGGCTTGACGAGTTTCCTTTTGAGGGTGATGATGCTGTCATGATCATACTACACATACATTTTCATAACCCTAACCCTAACCCACTCCCATGAGTGCCAGCAGGTCATCCGACCACTCAAAAAGCCAAATTCACTGCCATCGTGGGTAGGATCCGACTCATAGCGACCCCATACAACCCAGTAGAACTGCCCCCGTGAGTTTCCGAGGCCGTAACCCTTAACGGGAGTCGAGTCCAGTCTTTCTCTGGGGGAATGGCTGGTGATTTAAGCGGTTGACTTAGCTGTTACCAGCCCTAATGAGGAGCCATCACCAGGGCTCCTTCTTCCGACCTCAGGGTTGGGAAAAATACATGCCTCCTGGGGAGCAGGGAGTGAGGTGGGGGAGGGGGGGAGAATGCTATGGCTCTCCAGAGGCCAAGGGCACTGCACATGTATTTAGGGAATTCTGGGGGCCGAGATCTCAGGAGGAGAAGCTGTTGTGATTAGGCACACTTTGTTTATGGCATGTGTGGTAGTGACATAACTTAGTGTCAACTTGACAGTATTAAGAGTGAAGGGGTGGGGCTTAGCCTGTCAATCTGGTCGCATGCAGCTTGATTGGAGGACAACCGAGATAAATGGCTCTCCGGAGGCCAGTCCCTCGCTCTCTGCCTTCGCCTTTCTGTTGACCAGCCATGTGGAGCCATACTGAGACCTGCAGGAGCCCCGGAGATGCTTTCACCGCCACTGGATCCACAGGACGTTGCACCCACTGGCCTGAGATCATCATGAATTTAGGTTCATTGTGTGTGCTCCATGAATCTAAGGAGGAATTAATGGACTAGTATCAGACTTATGGGCTAATATCAGAATTATGGACTTGATCTGGACTGGCCTGGGATGTTTTCTTAAAATACAATTGCTCTTTGATATAAAGCTCTTTTTTATACATATATATGGTGTCTCTGGATTTGTTTCTCTAGTCAACCTGGCCTCACACAGCATGTCACTAACACGGCGCTTTGAGGCCACCCTGCGTCCAGCAAGTCTCTCGGCGCTGTCTTCCCAGCAGCCTGGGCCTGCAGGCTGTCTCTGTGTCCCTCCTGGGCCATTCTCACAAGAGCTCCAACGTTTTCATCCTGCTCTTGTGCAGTTCATGGTTTACCAAAACCCCAAACCCAATGCTGGGGAGTCGATTCTGACTCACAGAGACTCCACAAGGTCGAGCGGAACTGCTCCGTGCGTTTCTGAAACCGTCACTTGTAACAGAGCAGGCAGCCTCGGCGTTATCCCTTGGAGTGGCTGGTGGGTTTGAACCGCTAACGTTGCAGTTTACAGCCCACTAATTAACCCACTGTACCACCAGCCCTGCTACTTAAAAGACTATGATCGAGGGTGGGGTGGGGTGGGGAATGAGCTGATACTAAGGGTTCAAGTAGAAAGAAAATGCTTTGAAAATGATGATGCAACGTACGTACAAATGTGCTTGACACAACGGATGGATATATGGATTGTGATAAGGGCTGTAAGAGTCCCCAATAAAATGACATTTTTAAATTTTATAAAAAAAAGACCATGATCCACATACCTTGCAGCACGCACTGGGAAACCATGGCGTGACTCAATTTCTGTGACATTCAACTTCCCGTGGGATCTGGACCTGGTCCTTGAGTGTCCCCAAGTTCCGTCTACTCAAATGCAGAGACAAAGCCCAATGGTGATGTTTTACAATGATCCCCCTCCTCTCCTCCTTAGCTGGGGCGGTTGGGAAGTGATGTGGTCATGTTATGCCCAGTCAGGATGCATCATAAGAAGAACTCTTATGGGCACCTGGGTCTTATCTGAGGCCATGTCTGACCATGCCCAGCTACCCACGGGGAAGCAGAATCCGACTCCTCACCTACCTGGCCAAGAATGATTGCCCTGAGGCAGAAGTCAGGCACAGGCCCACCCTCCAGCCTGCCTGACCACGTGCGGACCCCAGCCATCCCCTGTGACTCTTTCTGTTCTCTGCTGTTGAGCTCAATAACCACCCTCACGAAGATAGGATTTATTAGGGATGTTCACACGTTACAAGTCAGGATCAGAAACATCAAAGATACAGTTCTTTGGTCCACAGTCTCTCTCTCTTTTTTAATCCAGCTGTGCTGGCAGCAATGTCTCTCTCTTTGGTCCTTGGACTCTCAGTCACATGGCCTCTCGTCACCTGCTTGGGCTATAAAGCTCCTTCATCTCTGATAAATGCCCAAAGAACACCCCCCTCTGCAACCAGCCCCCTACCCTGATGCTCTGCTTTGCTGCTTGTGGGCGCAGAAGCCAGCTGCTTTGCCTCCTGGTCTCACTCTGGCCTGCTCTCCTGCAGACAGGGCTCCGGAACACCCTCCATCCAGAGCTCTTGTCTCTCTGGTCCCGGGAGTCTCTCTTCCTGCTTTCTGATGGTTCATTTCATGGCAAAATTGACCAGTCCCCTGACTAGGGTCCTCTGCACCTTATTTGCATGTCCACGCCCAGTCATTTGATGGGTAGTACAAAGACTATGGAGAGAAGCGCCACACTAAGTAGGGCCACCTCTCTGCACCTGATGTCCTGAGGCGACCTCCTAGACCTGGGCCTTCAGCTACACGGTCAAGAGAGGCTAGGGCCTGACTGTTGGCCCTGAGATCCACCCCACAAGGGTCACAGTGGCTGAGGCTGCCCTGTCCACACTGCAGGGGTGGATGGGCACTAAGGCCAGGCCGGCCCAGCCACCCACAGCAGTGAGTGACCCCAAGGCCCCACAGCAGACCTGAGAGGTTCCATCTTCACTCCCCTCTGCCTCCTCCCACCTCACAGCTGCTTCCTGTGAGGACAAAGGGATGGGAGTTTGCCCCCCCCCCCCAGCCTTGTGT